TCATATTATGAACATCGTAATTCTTGGGGCACAATATTGCTCTTTGTGACATGGTTTCAACCAATTCAGGAGTAATTGTGTCTCCAAATATTTCTCGGACTATATCGTCTTTGCATATTAGTTCTTGGGGAATCTCAATGAGATCTGCTCCCAAATCGTCAAAGGTTGGAAGACTTCCATTGCCTAGCTTTAATAGCCATTCTGTGTATTCAGGGTCCGATCTGGCCCTTACATTTCTTACCAATGGTAAGTGCTCAAAATGGCTCCATGTCTGAGAATATTTCAAACAACTTTGCACAATTTGTGCTCTCATACCATGAGGTATTACTGGTAGGCATTGGCGAAAATCGCCTCCTACAATGAGGACCTTACCACCAAATGGAATTTGGTTAGGATATCTTTTATCCTCAGTCATGACTTCTCTAAGAAGTCTATCGATTGTGTTAAGGGCATGGTTTGAAGCCATTGTACACTCATCAATAATAAGTAGCTTTGCCTTTCGGAGGGTGCCACCAGCCATTGTAGTCATTTTAATATTTGAAACGGAAGTTTCATTCAACGGAATTGGAAGTCCGTATAAGGAGTGCATTGTTTTTCCTCCTTGTAATAAATTGGCTGCAATGCCAGTAGTAGCAGCTAGAAGAACAACTTGGTTCATTCCTCTAACGGAGTGCATCAAGGTGGTATAGAGGTAAGTCTTTCCACTCCCACCTGGACCATCAATGAAGAAACATTTTGGTCTCATTGTTACATCTTTGACTGCAGCCATTATTTGATCATATGCTGCTGTTTGTTCAGCGTTAAAACTTTTCATTTTATCAGCGGCTAAAAGAACTTCAGTATCAGAAATATATTCCTCTGAACATGGAACATCAGGGATGTTCCATGCTGGCACTGGAAGCCCATATTCGTTATAATTAACTCTATGACTCAGAAATATGTCACTAATTTCTTTCATGGCATAACCCTCGCAATGGGTGCATGCATAATCATTAGGATGACGCTTTCGGCAAAAGTCCTCACACATGTGAGGCTTAAATTCATCCCACAATTCGCGTGGTTTTGCGGGTGGTCCAAATACGCAAATATATGCAAACAACTCTCGAAGTTGCTTTGGCATGTTCATGACGACGCCATCTTCCAGTGTAGATTTCCATACACTATCATCGAGGAAAAGACCTCTTGCAAGTGCAGCTTCTCTAAATCTGGGATATAATATTTCGTCGACAGTTTTTAAATCGTCGAATGACTGAGCTGCCTTTACATTTAAGAGAAGTAGCCTCAAATAATAGCGCTCTTGTTCTTTAACGCTGACAGTATGCATTCTGCCAATCACTTTAGCTCCACGTAAATTTTGGCGTGTTCCATTGCCTCTCTTTGCAATTCCAAGTATAATGCTCGGGGATTTCACGATATAAGTATTCCCTCGCATTAGGATCAGCACGGTTCAGTTTAAAATAACCCATCAATGTTGAGTCTCGACTCAGTCTATTTTGCAGCTGTTCATCGCTGATATCGTCATTAAATACAACATCTTGATAATCAGGCAAGTGGACGGCTAACCGTATTATAGCATGGGATTGTTCATGCATATGGAATCCGAATATTCTCCAACCTGCTTCTACAGGGCCAACATATCTTGAATCTACAAATTTAGTTGGTTCATCGTGATTCAAGGTCTGTTCACGTATTTCTATATTGGCAGAATCATGGCCTTTATATACATACTTAAATAAGTAATTATAAAACTATTTTAGAGGCGTAAGATTCTTTTTTAAATCAAATAATTTCTACTGTCCTTATTGTTCCATCGCAGTAAGGACAGTAGAAATTGTTTTATTTAAAAAAGAATCTTACGCCTCTAAAATAGTTTTATAATTTGATAACAGATGGCGCGCTAGTGCATCGTAACTTAAATAAGTATTTAACTGCCTGTACAGATGAACAGATTTCAACATTTATATGGCAGTTGAATCTTAACAATATGTATGCGTTGTATGGAACAACCCATGAATTATTGATAGGTTTAGAATTTACATAAACCTGTTCAGATATCACTCTTCGTTTGTATTTTGGGTATCCATCAACGTTCATAATTGTTGATTGAATCAAATCTTTTGGAAATTTTTTCGTGCATTGACCATTTTCCATACATGGGGACCTTGGATTATTTTTTACACATGGACCATGAATCATGTGTTTTGTAACTATTCCGAAAAGAACCGGAAATTTTTCCTTATTTGGAATTTCGGCAGATACAATTCTGTCTATATCCGCTTCTGTATTATATTTTGCCTCTGCAGCCAATATTATTAATATGTGGGCGTGAGGAAGCCCTCTTTTTTTAAATGCAATTACATGGACCATTGCAGCTAACTTTCCAAATAGCCCTGCTTTTATTTCTTTTAGCAACTCTTTTAACTTTAAGTTAAAGACACGTGCCACCAAATCTGGTCTATGTTCGGCTTTTTGCCAAGGTTCAAGATTTTCAGTTATTTCTATCCATTTTGGATTGCAAGTCATTGTAACAAATAAATCTGGTTTTCCATATTTTATCACAATTGACATGGCATCTTGGTACCTTTGTTGCCTATTTCTTGGACTGCCTTCAAAGCTTGATGGAAGGATTATTGCCTTTCCAACGTTAAGATTTTCATTTTCAGCTCTTGCGTTTATATGATCCATGAGACCACTATATTTTTCAGTTCTCAATTTGGACTGATTTTCTTTAATGTAATGGAGTCTATTTGCTTCCATTTTTACATACGCATCGACTATGAATTGTTGCGTTAGTTTTCCCCCATTTAAAAGAGGATTAAACTTGTCTCGGACAGACAGCAAATAACTATAATATTGCATTTGACTTAGTCTTTGACTTGAGCCGGGTTTCTGTTTTAGATAGGTAGTCCAACCTTGTTCCGCTCTAAGGTAAAATAGTGGATAAACCAACGCATCCAAATTTGGATCTAAGATAGAAATTCGCTTTAACTTAGGCTGATTCTCTATTGGTTTTAAATGAATCAGTATATCACGAATAAATGGAGGTTCACCATCATCATTTTGGAATACAACTGCAACTTCACTGGCAGTTGGCTTGTTATATCGTCGAACGTCTTGAGTCCGATCGTTCTTAATTGCCATTACAATATTTGGTAGTTCTGTGCCACTATTATTAGCTTCTTGTATTGGCTTCCTTTTCTACGTCACGAAGCATTTTATAAGACATTGCAAACTTATTTATGTTTGCTAACAGTTCTGCAAGTTTATTCAAAACATTCTCATCACATCCGTGGTTCTCAGGGATGGAAAGTCTTTCTCTTGTAGCCTCTGCTGTATCTAAAATATACAATTGGGCAAATTTTGGCGGCTGTTCCCCTACTGGGTGAAGTGTTCCAGTTATATGATATATTTGACCGTGAATACGGAAGCAGTATGGTCCATATCCTGGAGGTGTAGCAATGTTAGCCCCCATGGATGCAAATGCCAATGAGCTATTGTAAGATCTAATATTTTCCATAAAATTTTTACTATTATGGTCAACGCCATTCATTAAGGTTTCCAGGTATTCTGGATAATCCTGCTCCGGTAAATCTATTTTGCCTTTATGGCAGCAGGCTGAGAATTTTCTATCTGGGGGTCTATCTCCCATGAAATTTAAAGAATTGCAAAATTCGCATCTTTCATTCATTTGGCCACAGTAAAATTCAATAATTTATTTTTCATCTATATTAGCCAAATCAATTGCATTAGTTCGCATTGTCGGTCGCCGATATCGCCTGTGAGCCTCAGCATCACGTTGATGTCTTGCAGCACGTTGGTCTGCTGTTTCACTATCTAGTTTTAGACGTTTAGCTTCAGCTTCACGTTGAAGTCTTGCAGCATGGTGTTCTGCTGTTTCATTGGCAATACGACTTCTATAGGTTTCAGCATTACGCAGAAGTCTTGCAGCATGGTGTTCTGCTGTTTCATTGGCAATACGACTTCTATAGGTTTCAGCATTACGCAGAAGTCTTGTAGCGCGTTGGTCTGCTGTTTCACTATCTAGTTTTAGACGTTTAGCTTCAGCTTCACGTTGAAGTCTTGCAGCATGGTGTTCTGCTGTTTCATTGGCAATACGACTTTTATAGGTTTCAGCATTACGCAGAAGTCTTGCAGCACGTTGGTCTGCTGTTTCACTATCTAGTTTTAGACGTTTAGCTTCAGCTTCACGTTGAAGTCTTGCAGCATGGTGTTCTGCTGTTTCATTGGCAATACGACTTCAATAGGTTTCAGCATTACGCAGAAGTCTTGCAGCACGTTGATCAGCTGTTTCTTGTTGCCTTGCATTTCGCCTACTTGCGGCAGCTGCGGCCTTTCTTTCCTCTTCAGAGTTATATTTCTTAGGAGGCATTTTTTTTTTGCATACAATGATTATTTTAGTGAATAGGTAATATTAAGTAAAAGCAGAAGAATATGGGTAATTAGTAATCAAAGTAATCAATTAGTAATCAAGTTATCAAAATTTTTTTTTTTGATAATATATCTATGAAATTTATTGAAAATTAAAATAATCTATTATTTTAAAATATATATTTATTTTTAAAATAAAGTTTTTAATTTTAAAATGTTTTTCTTTCTTTTTTTATATAATTGATGATGCGCGCGCATCCGTGACAGCCGGTCGTGACTATATATGTTGATAATAATAATAATAATATAATAATAGTAATTATTATTATTATCATTAGATAATGATAATGATCATAATGATGATGCGCGCGCATCCGTGAGAGCGATGAGGAATTGAGGAAAGACGGTCGTGACTATATATTAACTAGACGAATGGCCCGGGCAACGCCCGGGTTTTACCCGAGTGCGTATATATTTTAAAAATGTTTTAATTAAAATATTATTCGTTACAATTATAAATTGGCGCCGTGGATCTCTCTTTTGTGAAACGTCCCGCCCCAAACTGTATGTGTCTTGAAAATATAAAATAAAAATGTGAACGGAAAAATATGTCCAGGGTAGCCTAGTGGCATCTGCCCGGTAAGCGGAAGGTCGTGGGTTCGATTCCCATCCCTTGAAATTTTTTTATTTTATCCATTCTGATCAAAATCTATCCGTGAACTTCACACAGACAGAATAAGGCAATTATATAAGTAGATAATCAAAATTGTGCCTTATCACACACTTTTTTTTAATTTTGCCTTATTACCTTGTGTTTATAATCTATGACGTAATGCCGGCGGCGCGCGCCCGTTGGCTGCCGGCGAGCACGTGACCTCCCTGTGCGCGCGCATCCGTGACATAACCGGCCCATGACGGTCGTGACTATATATGTTAATAATAATAATAATATAATAATAATAATTATAATAATAATAATTATTATTATTATTATTATTATCATTATTATTATCATTATATCATCATCACGACGTGGGTAAGTGTAATCACGTTTTTTTCCCTCTCCCAAAAAAACCTGGAAAATTGATCAAAAATAGCGCCAAAGTGATAATTTTTCAATATTAAAAACAAGCATTTTCGAAATAGTAAAGGGCAAGGTAAAATCTGTATAAAAAAATGAGAAATTTCAAAAATTTGATCAATTAGTGTCTTAGAAAGTTGCAAACACGTGCTTTTACAAACGTGATAAGATGATGCACTAGCGCGCCATCTGTTATCAAAATTCAAAACTATTTTAAAGGCGTAAGATTATTTTTGATATTAAACAATTTTTAAACGTGATAGTATTGTTAAGCCTTATTTTATTTTGCGATTTTTTTTTTGTTCATGTTGGTAGGATTTGTGTGTGTGAAATTTATTTCCATTTTTCTTCTTTATCAGATTGTGAATGGCTGAAAACAACCTTCAAGAAAATATCAACTTGAATCTTACATTAACTTGGAGGCAGAATGGTCACTCCAGCCAGTCAGATGAAGATATAGAGAGAAGTGAGAATATCTTTCTTATCCAATCATTTTATAAATATGCCGATAGAAAGGGAAGGGCAGGAAGAAATTCTTGGCCTAAAATCCAAGAAGAATACCGAAAAAGCCGATTTGGACGTGCAATAAATCTTGGTACTCTAAGAATAAAGGTTTACAAGCTTATCAAGGACGAAAGATACATAGATATCGTCAATGAATACAGAGGGACATCCAACGGATCTGCACCTGTTGTAAGCCAAAGTCAGGAAGAAGACGAAAGAGAAAGTACCTCAAATGTTCCAGACAACGGCGAGCAAACCAGTGACAGTAGAACTTGCGATAGTGAAATCACCAATAACCAAATAGGCCAAGAGGAAGGTGAGAGAACAAACGAAAGGGAAGATAGGGATTCATCAGAACTAGTAAGCCAACCAGATAAGGAAAAAGAAACAAATGAAGAGGCAAACAGCGATAACCCAGTAAACATAGAATTGCGGCTGAGAGTAACAAGGGCAATGGAGAAAGCGACAGAAGAATGCTCGAACAAACCAGTTAATGAGTGGACATCGACGTTCAAAATCCCATACGTAAAATATAAAAAGCATATTCTAGAGGAAATTAACAATTACATTGAGGAAAACCTAATGGGGAATCTGAACTTGGAAAAAATCAGCAAAATTATTTATGCAGCGCAAATGGCATATGAACAGTTAACCAAAAAGCCGCAAAGAGCGGGGGATGGCAATATCCATTGAACAAATCAATCCAAGAGAAAGAAAATATGATGAAAATAATTGAAAAACGAATAGAATCTGGAAACATGAACAGCAAAGAAAACCACATGGTAAAACATCCACTTTGCCGTAGTGGGGGGGGGGGCCCGAGTCCGACTTCCAAGTCGTTCCGCCAAGAGATCAACACCATAGAGGTCCGTACGTCTCTTGACCTCACGGACAATACAGCAGCTACATTATGCACCCATGATATGTCAAACTTATCTTACACAGTTAACTCCGGCGGTACTAAGGGGGAAAACCGCGCCATGGCTACAGAGGTGGGGGCTATAGGCTACACAAATGGAAAGTTACTACGCGGCCTGGACAACCGTGCAGCACCTCAACAGTCCAAAACAATCAAAAAACCTCTTGGCCGCTTCCTCAGAATCTGCCAAATTAATGTAGAAGGCCTAACCACAGCAAAGACTGAGATTTTGGAAAGAATGGGAAGAGATGAGAATATTGACATATTTGCTCTCCAGGAAACCCACATTTCTGAAGACCATATTAGTCGTCTTAAAATCCCAAACTATGATCTGATTGCATATGAAAACCACCCTAGATACGGCTTGGCAATTCTGACCAAAAAAGATATATCCAATAATTCATTTCCTTCAATCAAAAGCTCCCACTCTATCTCAATAACACATGATTCTTTAACAATTCATAATATATACAAGCCTCCCTCACAAGATTGGAACCAGCAAGTCCTCCCAAACACTTCTCACCCCTCATTATATTGTGGAGACTTCAACTCGCACCATAATTCTTGGGGATACACTACAACCAACACCAATGGTGAACTGCTAGAAGAATGGGCAAATAATAACCTTCTTCACCTTATCTATAACCCAAAACAAAATGGATCTTTTTCTTCAGGCAGATGGAATACTAGAACAAATCCTGACTTATGCTTTGTATCAACTGACCACAATAACAAGCCAATCCCTACTACGAAGAGGATTCTTAAAAAATTTCCCAAAAGCCAGCACCACCCAATCATTCTCGAGGTAGGACATTTCATCCCTGTGACCTTGAAGCCCTTCCTCCCTCGATGGAATCTTCAAAAAGCAAACTGGGAAAATTTCCGTGCCTACATTGATCAAAACATCAACAGAATTCAACCTCTGCCTTCAAACTATTTTAGATTTGTAGGTCTCCTCATGAAAGCCGGAAGGAAGTTTATCCCCCGTGGTCACAGAAAGGAATATATCCCAGGTTGGGATAAAGATACCGAGGAGCTCTATAGACGATACAAAGATTCCGACAATGAGGAGACAGCAGAGATGCTAATTAACCAGCTTAATTCTTCAAGAAAAGAGAAATGGATGCAGACAGTTTCAGACCTGGATCTCACACACTCCAGTAGGAAAGGGTGGGATCTCTTAAGAAAGCTTGGAAATGCGGAAGCTACCAACTCCTTCATAACCAACATAACTCCCAACCAGATAGCAAGACATCTCCAAACAATCTCTAAAGTAAAAATTCCTAAAAGAAAGAAAAAGGCCATGAAGGCAAGAATTAAAGAAGAATTTTCAAAATCTAATAACTCAAGCCACCTCTCAAGCCAAGTCAACATAACGGAAATAGAAACTGCAATCAAATTAACCAAAAAATACAAAGCAGCAGGCAATGACGAAATACCAGCTGAATTCCTTATTGAGCTGGGAAAAAGGGCTAAATCATGGCTGGCTCGATTTTTCACAATAATAATGGAAACCGGCAATATCCCAAAAGAATGGAGACAGTCAAAAATCCTTGCCGTCCTAAAACCAGGCAAAGAACCTACCTGCACAGCAAATTTTCGTCCAATTGCGCTTCTCTGTACAACCCACAAGCTTCTGGAAAGAATCATTCTAGCCAGACTTACTCCCATTCTGGACCCAGAAATCCCGGTGGAACAGGCGGGTTTCAGAGGCAACAGGAGTTGTTGCGATCGGGTTGCATCCTTGACATCCTTCATCGAAAATGGCTTCCAACTGGGACTGAAATCTGCAGTTGTGCTCCTGGATCTTTCGAGTGCATATGATACAGTGTGGATTGATGGCTTGATCTATAAACTTGCTAAAGTGCTAAAATGCAAACAGACCCTCAATCTTTTGTCTTCTCTTCTCTCACCCAGGAAATTCACAGTATACCTTAACTCTAAATCTAGCAAGGAATATACTATATATAATGGCCTCCCACAGGGATCAGTCTTGTCTCCACTTCTTTATAACTGTTACACCCATGATATTCCACAAACAACTTCAAAGAAATTTATTTACGCAGATGATACAGCCATTCTAGCCCAAGCAAAGACTTTCGAGGAACTGGAAATTCAACTGAATAAAGATCTTGAAACTCTACATAATTACTTTGAAAACTGGTCTCTGAGACTTAATCCTGCAAAATCTGTACATTGCTGTTTCCATCTTAACAATCACAGAGCTGAAAGAAAACTCAAACTATTTATCAATAACTCTCAGATAACTCATAGCGAACATCCCAAATACCTAGGCATTCATCTTGACCGCACTCTCACCTTCAAAACTCATCTCACCAAGTTAAAGGGGAAACTATCATCACGTAACAATATCCTCCATAAGCTGGCCGGCTCTTCCTGGGGCAGTGATGCCAACACCCTGCGTACTTCTGCCTTGGCATTGATCTTCTCCACGGCTGAGTATTGTGCTCCAGTCTGGGAGGGGAGCTGCCACACGAAGCTAATAGACACACAACTAAATTCTACCTTACGAATTATAACAGGAGTTTGCCAACCTACAAGAATCGACTGGCTTCCAGTTCTTGCTCACATCTCTCCGCCTGAGCTACGCAGAAAGGAAGCCACCAAGAAAATGTACCAAAAACTCTTGGACTCGCCCGACCTCGAAATTAACCCAATCCTACAGTCTCCCCCAAAACATCGACTAAAATCAAGGAAGCCGATATGGTCCAGAGGAAACCAACTTCTCTCCCAAAATTTTAATATCTCAGAAGAATGGACAAATTCCTGGATCAGCTCCGATATCCCAAACAAGAACCTCATCACAAGCCCAAGTGTCAAGATCCCAGGTTTTTCCCTCCCTCGACGAGAATGGGTGCTTCTAAACCGCTTTAGGACAGGACAGGGAAGGTGTGCAGAGCTGATGAAGTTATGGGGCTACACCAAAGATCCAAATTGTGCCTGCAACGTCCCACAATCAATGTCCCATATACTAGACGACTGCCCGCTGTACAAATTCAATGGAGGAATCTCCAATCTCCACTCTGTCACCCCGGAAGCCCTGAACTGGCTGAAGGCCTTGCCTCTCAGACTTTAATGACCGATATGTCCTCACTTCTTTTTTCTAGATTTGGTTCATTTTGTCTCCTCTCTAATTGTAAAGATGTTGCTGTAT